CAGGAAGGCTTTCCTATTAGAATGGTTCTAAGAAGTCTTCAGGAGCAAAATTTGCATAAATAGTGTGAACAAAAATACTCTGATTGGCGTTTGAGGGTCATCCATAGCAAGTCTGGCAGAGGATGGCTTTCCCTGGGCGACCTGAACCAGTAGGTGGCCTGAACCTTCCCCACAATTACAGACCACTGCATTAAAAAGCCCAATTCCGTAAAACCCAACTGACTCTTCACAAAAATCATGCCTTTAAAAAAAATGAACGCATGCTCTCTTCTCCTTGAAACACTGAAAATAATGGGGTGTTCAAGTTTCACCACAATGCCTCAGATGAACTTTTCAACCTATGACCCTTAAACACAAATGAATAGTAGCATGGACAGTCAAGGTGAACTCAAGTTCAAAATGTTAGCAAACAGGAAATCAGGATAAGATTAATTTACCTCCTAATTACAGGAAAGGATAGGAAATGATGAAATCAAAGGCCTGTTTTTCAAAATCACAGCAGCTTGCTTCTTCAAAACCAGCAAGAGAGTGAGAAACTCCAGTAAGATGGGGCTACGGTCCTATGTAATGCAACCATCTAATGATGGACATGTAATCTCGTACCTCCAGTCACTTTTGTCATAAGCCAGTGGTTAGAAATAGGTCATAGGTCCTGCTCAGTCTCAAGGGGAGAGGATCATACAAGACAATAACATAAGAAGTAAGGATCATGGGGGGCACCTTATGTGTCTGTCTGCCATAACATACCATTAACAAATTCAGGACATTTAACATTGATACTATCCTTCTCCATGTATCAGCACCTGCTATCAGTTTGTCCCATTAGCAGTGATATGAATTCTGATCATTTGGTGAAGAAAGTATCTACTAGATTTCTCATCTGTAGTAAGTTTACCAATGTTCCCTCTGTAATTATTAAGTCATAGGCTGCTATTCATCAAGTTTTCACCCAATAATTTTAACAAAATTGATTCTTTGCCTGCATCAATAATTACCATGATTTTTGCAAAATGGTGGTTTTGTAAATTCCATCATTTTTTCCACTTTTATTAGCTGGCATTATTCTGCTGTAGGAAAGGACTTCCCCTCTTCCTGTATGTATGTGGATATATATGTACATTTGTATGTGGGTATGTGTATCAGGTATGGACTCATGGATTCCAATTATTTTATTGGTTTAAAATTTATTACTGTCCTTATTTATTCTGATGCTCAAACTGTCCCACATTTCATCAGCAGGAACACTTTCAAGATGGCTCCTGTCTCCTGAGTCCTTTTAACATATCCCCTTACTTGTTGGCACAAAAAGATGATCCAGGTCCATGTGTACCTCCCTGCCTCAGCCCTGGAATCAGTCATTTTTCCAAGGATCTCTGGTTCTTTGGATCAGAGAATGACATTTAGGAACCAAGATCAGTGTGCCTGAGAGGGTTTCAAGCGAAGATGTAGGCAACAGAACGTGGAAAGGCCCCTGCAGTGGATGGGACAATGGATAGCAGCTCTACCATAGCTTCTTTAGAGGCTGAGAGGCCAGCTGTGGGCAGTATTTCTCCAGGATGCCCAAAGTGTTTAATACCAACTAGGCCCTTAATAGTTCCTCTATAAGTACCTACTTGGTTGATTCATTTCATTCACTGACATATTTATTGTTCAATAATAAACCAAAGTTAGCCTATTAGATGCCTTTTCATGAGCTTTTCAAATAGGTAAAATAAAATGCATGAGCAGCTTGGAGATCATACAAGCCACTCCTCCATTTGATTAATGACATCCCTTGGACCTCAGTGAGGGGCATGCCATCTCAAGGTCACTGACACACTTGGCCAGCAGCAGAGGCAGGCCTGGATTCCAGCCCTCCCGGCTCAGAGTCCTCCACATCATATACCTTTCACCAGGACCATTTGTAATAAGATACCAAAAAGATTAACAGAAGAGGTTTTCCAAAGCCTTCTCTGGTGTGGCTTGGCCTGGGCGCCATATGTTCTGCCCAGGCTCACACTGGCATGCTCCCCCAGTACCATGGCTCACAGATTTTACTACAAGCCTTTTGGCTCTGTGTTGCCAGATGGGGCTCTAGGTTAGCAGTCATACCCTGCTATAGGCTCCACAAGTTCTGAGCATGCACACTGCTGACTCTAAGCCAATCTGTAAAAGTTTCGTGATCATTACGCCTATCTGCAGGGCACTAGGTTCTTGAGGCTGCCTTGATTCACTGAGGGGCAAAATCCCCATCTTTGCCCTGAAGTCCTCAGTGTCTATTTCACAGTAAGGTAAGCAGGCTTACTCCTTGCTAATTAAAAAAATAATAAATACAATTTCCTAAAGAGCTATTTGCAAATATAGCTGGGGGTTACTGAGACCTTGCTCTGTGCCCAGTCTCTTGCATACTTCCTCTATAACCCTGCAAAGAAGGTAAAATCATCTTCCATTTTTCAGTGGAAAAACATGGGGCAAAAGGGAGAAGCAGTCTCACCTAAAATCTCACTCAGGGTGTGGAAGCGAGAGAGCTGAGAGCTGCCCCCTGACCCACAGTCTCTGAAGCCGGAATCTCCTCTGCAGTGAGGCAAAGGACCCTTACAGACCAAAAAGCTGAGGGGAGGGGCGTTGTGCCCTGTGTTCTCAGGGCAGGGACATTCTCCTGGCCCTGGACCTGGCCCTGCCCCACTTGTCCTTTCACAGGCCTCTCTCCTCCACCACCAGCCAGTGCTGGGAGGGCTCCTCAGGCAGGGCCCTGAGCTCCCTGCTGGCCAACAGAGGCGTCTTCACTGGCTTCTTGCCTCCCTAAAAGGACTTCGTTCCAGTTCTCAGCTTTTAAATCCCAGAAAATCTTCTGGCAGAGCTAGCTCATAAATGTCCCTAACTTGGCTGGAGGCAACAGCCAGCCACACTAGAGGTTTGCCCCTGCACACTTTGCTTTGGAGTTCTGCCTGGGGCGGCTTTCTCAGGGAGGGCTTTAGAGTGTAGACATGAGCTGTGCACTGTAGCAGATGTTTTCTGGCATCTTTCCTGGGAAGTACCTCTGGGATGGTACTTAGGGGGAAAATAGAAATTACAACTCAGGACTCAACTCAGGGACGTTCATCTGAAACACTGTGAAAGAACAATAATTTCTACTTGTGGCACCAACATTCAAATAAGAATATTTCAGTGATTCAAAATAGAGCAAACACTACTGTTTCCAATAGTAGTGATGAGATTCTGAAGTTAGACCTGGATTCCAATGCCAGTTCTACTCATTACTAGAGCTAGGACCTTGGGCAGTTATTTAACCCAATGAGAAACTAAATGCATGTTATCCCCTCCCAAGGGTTAGTCTATTCTAAATTAGTGAGGCTTAAGATTTTTGCAGTTGTAATTTTGCATCATTGGCTTGAGAGGGCATCCTCAAACTGCGTAAGGTCCAAAGATGTGGATTCATTTGTTCTTTTCTATGGACTAATTACCTGTTGGAAGGGACAGTCCTTCCTCCCTAAGGAATAAGTGCTAATAGTGGAATTGAAAGCATTCAGGAGGAAGGAGCCCAAGGCAGAGCCCCAGACTCTTTAGAATGGAAACACCACTGACCTACTGGCCTTCAGGCCTTTGCTCCAGCTCCTCTCTTTCTGTCCACCTGTCTGGGTCTCTTGAAACCATGTAGGTGAGAATGCTTGGAATGGGAAAGTGCTGTTCAAATGTCAGAGGTAAATAAATCCTGCCTTTTCCAGACCTTGTTCTTTAGCACAGCAGATTCCCACCTGGCACACACTGGAATCAAGGGAGAGATTTAAAGAAATACAAATATCTGGGCTCTGCCCCAGGCCAATTAAATCAGGGTTCCTGGGAGTGAGGCTCAGGCACTGGCACTCTTTTTAGTTTCCTCAGATGATACTGCTGTAGGAACCACTGCCCTAGAAAGCCATCCTGGGCCTCCAAGGTCTTGTGCTTCTAGAATATTAATCCTGAAATACTAATCTTTGCAATTCATTCAATGCTAATTGCTTTCCCATACAGTCTTTTGGCATTTTGTTTCTCCCTCCCAGGGTAGGTGGTGAATACCCTATCTACCCCCAACAGTACTCCTCTGGCTCTGGAGATTTAAGCCAATTGTGTGCAGCAGCAGGTAGCTAACTGCGTACTGTGCACCCAGGTACAGCTAATCCCACTGGAAGATAGAAAAATAGTAGTCACTTGTTCAGCCCTTTATGTGCTAGCAACTTCCATGTCAGGAGCCCCATAAGAAATCTGTCAGGGAAAGAGTTTTTTTGTTTTTGTTTTTGTTTTTTTTTAAAGATTTTATTTATTTGACAGACAAATCACAAGTAGGCAGAGAGGCAGGCAGAGGGAGAGGAAGGGAAGCAGGCTCCCTGCTGAGCAGAGAGCCCGACGCGGGGCTCGATCCCAGGACCCTGAGATCATGACCTGAGCCAAAGGCAGAGGCTTTAACCCACTGAGCCACCCAGGCGCCCCAGGGAAAGAGTTTTTAAGCCCCCTTTTTACTGGCAAGGGTGGGGGTGAGACTCAGAGAGGGACAGCATCTTGCCCGAGGTCACAGAGCTACCCAGTGCTGGACCCAGATGCCTACACTGGTCTGTGTGCCCCAAAGCACGTGCTTTTCTCTGAGCATGCTGCCCTGACTATGGTCTTGTTGAAGTAAGGACTGATGAGAGAGAAGATGTTTGGGTGCAAGGCTGCAAGCCAGCTCATGAAGCGACTAAGAGAACTGTAAAACTGACATTTGAATTTTTCACTGCTCGAGTTCCTGATATGATTCATACTCATTTTGTGTGGCCAGGCTCAGACCTGAATGACTAGCTCAGCTATAAAATTTGGGTGCTTTCCTGAGTTCCTGCTGAAATAAATTAATAATAAGGTGACCTATAAATATTTAATAGTCGATTAGAGGTTTTTCCTTTTTTGGATCGGAATCAACATCCTCTGATAATTGCATTTGAATGTTGCAAATAATCTTTGACCCTCATGCTTTTCAATATAACCTGTGTAAATTACCTCTTCAGAAAAATCTATGTGGAGTAAAAGGCCTGGCAGGAAATATGAACAGCAGAACTATTCAAACCTGGAGGTCATTTCATTCCGATGATGTGAGGACATCCTGCTGGGCCGAAAAGAGGTAAGCTGTGGGTGCTGACATTCTTTTAAATGAGGGTTGAATCTGTGAAAGATTTATGTCCAGTCTGGTCCCTGTCATTTTTCTTTATGCCCAGAAAGGCAAACGCCAAATCCCACACTGCCCTTAGTCCTACACTCAGAACTTTTTGCCTTTTTGTACCTGTTGCTGAAGCCAACAACACAAGGTCCACTTTCTCAAGCAGTTGTTCTCCCTCAATGGCTGGAAGGATAATCCAAATCCAATCCACTAAAGTTCTCATGACCTCCAGCTCTCATCCCCTTCCATAATTCTTCACAACTAAATAGTATAACCTCTTCCATGTGCAAGGGACCATTCAGCTGGGGAAACATCTAGCCCTTCCTCCAAGGTCATATTCTGCCACTGAAGGTGCATAGATGTCCCAGTTGATCCCTGTCATTTTCCTTTATGCCCACAAAGCAAGCTCCAAATTCCACCCTGGCCTCAGTCATTTGTACCTGGTGCTGGAGCCAAGACCCCAAAGGCCACCATTAAGGTCCTCCCATGTAATGGTCATGCAGATGTTTGAAGGCAGTGACTTTCTACAGACTCAAAGCTACAATGTGCCAGATGTTGTCTTGTGGGCTTCTCTAAGGTCGCTGTTATGACTATTAGTCACTGAAAAAATTTCTATATACCAGCCCCTCTACTTAGAAAGTTCCTGTGTATTTCACCCTCACAACATACCCATGAAGTAGAATCTACAAAATCTTTATTCCCATTTTACAGATAAAGAGATTTAGAGATGCTCAGAGAAATGAAGCAAGTTGCCCCATGTCCCTATGCAACTGGTAGTTGAGGCTGAATGAAAACTCAGGCCAATCTGACCTGCTGCTCACCAGAGTTAGAAGAGCTCACTATGAAAGCTGGGTCTTGGGTCCCATCTACAAAAGGGAGACCAGGTGCAGAGAACTAAACACTCTTTCTGGAGCTGGCATTAGAGGAACCCTGTCTCAGCCATCCAGGGTGTCACACAGGCTGCTAACATGCAGAGTCCTCTCCATAATTTTATGTACTGCCTCAGTGTAAGGGCTTGGCCATCATCCCCCTGACATCTTTACACTCCAGGCTTTCCTAAGCAGAAGAAGGTCTTCAGGGAATCCCCCAGATATTACACCAGCTGGTCTAAATCTTCCTCATTTTACTAATGAAGAAATTGAGGAAATGAAGTCACATAGCCAAGGTTACTTTACATGATTTGTTCTTTTCCACTCCTTGGAAGTCTAACTCTTTTAAGGTGTACGTTTTTAAAACAAACAAACAAAACACCCAGGGGCGCCTGGGTGGCTCAGTGGGTTAAAGCCTCTGCCTTCAGCTCAGGTCATGATCCCAGGGTTCTGGGATCGAGCCCGGCTTTGGGCTCTCTGTGCAGCGGGGAGCCTGCTTTCCCCTCTCTCTGCCTGCTCCTCTGCCTACTTGTGATCTCTGTCTGTCAAATAAATAAATAAAATCTTAAAAAAAAAAAGAAAAAAACCACCCAGATGCTTCAATAAAAACACAATGCCACACACATCCCTTTGTTTTCCAGAATGGCTTTTCTCTAACTTGAATGTTTTAATAAAGGCAGACAGGAAACCCCAAGATCACAGAAAACCTAATTAGCAGGCATGGAGGTGACATCCTTCCCCTCCTCCATCTGGTGTTGTCATCACCTGAGTCCTAACTAGGGTGGTGGAAGATTCCAGGTTTCACCTCGAAGCTCCAATGTACAGAGGAGCAGAGATTCCAAACTGCATTGCTAAATGACCACAGTGCCCAGATCATCCCTTAATAGCACCCCTAAATTCAATGCACTCCTCTCTAGGTTCAATGGCCCCCTTGAGGCCCCCTAAGGAGCCCTCTTGCCAGCCAAAGGAATAGGATGGAGATGACCAGGGACTCTTGCGATGAGGGTATGGTTTGTAGTTGCTCACGAAGGGTTGGGAGGTTCTGTTTTATCTGAGTGCCCTACACTAGGGACTGTGTGTCTCTCAGGGCTGCTGCTTATCAGGAGGAGGACCTGGGACCGGCATGCACTTCCTTCTCTTATTTCTCCCATCCTAATTCACTGCACCCCACTCCCTATAACAAATGCATCCTCTTGCTCAGCCACCAAACCCCGGTGTAGCAGAAGCACACACAATTCTGATTCTAGCAGCTTCAATATCAACTGAGCCCTTAGGTAGGCAATGACCTACATAGTGTTTAATATGGAAATATAAGAAAGTTTATCTTAAAAAAATCCCTGACCCACTTTCAGGCCACCAACACAGGTACTCCTGGGTAAGGCAGATTCCTGTTGACTCTGAACAGCACAAAATGCTAGTATCATTAACATTTCTCCTTGGGCTGATAGTAATTCAATCAAAGCCCCTCCCAGCAAAGGCCGCTTCTGAAACACACCTTAATTCACTTGTCAGAACATGGCTGCTGCATCTAGGTCCTGAATTAACAAATTCCAAACACAGGCTCATGGCACAACAATTTTATACATCCTCTACAGGATGTGGCCTTTTGGGGCAAAAAATGGCTGAAACATTCTAGTGATGAATTTATAAAAGGAGTGCTGTCATTTTTCTTCCCTTCATTTTCCAGTCAATCTAAGAAACTCCCTTAAAATTATTATTAAAGAATTATTAAATTGTATTAAAGAGTACTAGCTATAATTTAATCTTTAGGGGAAATGTAAACAGAGTAGATTCTTTCCACATCAGTGTAGTTGCAAGAGCACATGATCTCAAGTTCAGAGACCTGGGCTTAAGTCCTGACTCTGCCATTTAGTGGCAGGGTGGCATTGGGTGGCCATTACATTTTATGTTCTACTTTCCTCCCCTGTAAGTGGGAATCACATTCATGCTTACTTCACTGACTTATTTATAAAGACCAAATAAGATCATGCACATACTTTATCAACCATAAAACTTTATCTAAGGATAAGGGATCTTCCTTTATTTTTTATTCACTAGTAGAAAGGTCAAAATCAACACTGAGAATCAAGTTTATTTTTATCCTTCTTTTCTTCCCAGTTTATCTTTTGGTCCTCAGAGATAACCAATCTCTTCCCATTTTCATCTCTGCATACAGCATAAAGTGAATCATAAATTCATTCATACTAAGGTATAAACGTCTTTTGCAAAAACATTTTTCTTAGTCACAGGAACCAAGACTTTATAGTGCTAAAATTCTCTGAGAGACTGGGGCGAGGGGGTAGGGAGGCATACTGGATTCCCCAAATTCTATCAATAGGTAACTACCTGCTTATGGATATTTTAAGGACATCCCTATGGGTCATAAGGGTATGATCTGAAAATTTTTCACAAGAACACAGAGTAACTTTCACCAACCTTTGAACCAGTTCCACCTCACAAGTGCTGAGAATATCACCTTACTGGGACTACTCGCAGCTGTGGTCTTGACTGAGGCTCCTTACCCTAACGTCAACATCCAAATTCTGAGAAAACAGTGGGAAACTTTTCTTTTTGATGTTACCACAAACAGAATTATTTTTGGAATTTTAGTTTTAGGTTGTCTATCACAAGTGTATAGAAATAACAACTAATTTTTACAGATTGATCTTTTATCCTGCAACCTTACTCATTATATTACGTCTCATGGTCTTTTAGTGGACTCCTTATACAAGATCATATCACCTACAAAGAGACATGTTTTACTTCTTTCTTTCCAATCTGACGCCTTTTATTTCTTTTTCTTGACCAACTACCTTGACTAGAACCTCTAGGACAATGTTGAATAGAAGTAGTATAAGTGGGCATCCTTTTCTTTCTTCCTGATTTTATGGGGGAAATCATTCAGTCTTTTACCATCAAGTATGAGGGGGTTTCTCATGGATGCCCTTCATCAAGTTGAAAAAATTCCCCTCTTATTCTAATTTGTCAATTGTTTGTACAATAAAAGGGTGTTGAATTTTGTCCAATTTATTCCTCACCTCCACTGATCTATCATGTGGTTTTTGTCATTTATTTTATTAATACAGTGTCTGACATGATCAAATTTCAGATGGTAAATCAACCTTGGATTCCTGTGACAAGCCATGGTATATAATTCTTTTTATATGTTGCCTGATTTGATCAGCTAGTGTTCTGTTGAAGATTTTTGCATCTGTATTCATTAGACATACTGATCTGTAATTTTCTTGTGATACTTCAGTCTGTTTAATGTTAAGATTATAAAGAACTCATAAAATGAACTGGAAAGTGTTCCTCTTCTGCTTTTTGAAAGAGTTTATTAAGAATTGGCATTAATTTGGGGTGCCTGGGTGGCTCAGTGAGTTAAGCCTCTGCCTTTGGCTCAGGTCCTGGGATCAAGCCCCACATCGGGCTTTCTGCTCAGCAGGGAGAGAGTTTACTTTACCCTCTCTCTCTGCTTGCCCCTCTGCCTACTTGCAATCTTTCTCTGTCAAATAAATAAATAAAATCTTAAAAAAAAAAAAAAAGAATTGGCATTAATTCTTCTTCAAATGTTTGGTAGAATTTACCAGGGAAGCCATCTGGGCATGAGCCATTCTCAGTGGGTAGCTTTCTCTTTACTAATTCAATCCTTCTACTTTTATAGGTCTGAATATTCAGATTTTCCTGGTTTTTTGGTTTTTTTTTTTTTTTGGTTTTTTTTCTGGTAATTGGGGAGCTCTTTTAAAAAATCAAGTCACCCCTCAGAGACCCCACAGAGTTGATTCTTAAAACTGAGTCCTCTTCCTTCTTCAAAGTAACTAGATTGTAGTCTCCTTGACCTTTTTCTAAGACTTGCCTCAGGGCCTTTGCATTTGTTGTACCCTCTGCCCAGAATACTTTCTTCCAGACATCTGCCTGGCTGTTCCCCGACTTCTTTCTGTCTCATTAGTCAGACATTCTCTAAACACTCTGTAAAACAGCATAGATTCCACCTACCCAACCGCTCCCCCTAAATTCCCCTTACACTGTTTACTTGTCTTCATAGTACTTTGGCCCTGCTGACTTTGATCCTGCTGACATATCACATGCTTATCT